ATATATATATATGTGTGTGTGTGAATGCAAGAAGTGACAGGCAGTTCATATGTGCTTTGTGTTTTCAGGGTTACAAAATCAGTTTTCCTTTTATTTTACAACATTCTTTCCATACCACTGGCTTTCTATTCTCAGGTGAAAACTATTTCATGGCAACTCTGCAGCCAACTGTGCTCCTTCCCACCTTTCATACCTGATTTACAGTCCCTGTTGATTCCCTGATCTATTCCTGGTCCTCCTGTGCATGGCTGTCCTTCTGAGTCATAGCAAAGGGCAGCAAGGGCTGTCTAAACCCCTGGGAAAATCCATTTGTTGGCCCAGCATGGGTAGGCAGAGGGGTAATGGAAGAGGTTCTATTTTTTCAAGCCACTGCAAATTCCAGTGTGGTGTAGACAGGCCCGTGTGGGTAGACAGGCTGTCATGAGGACCTGGAAGAGTGGGCTGCCACAGATGTGCATTGGCAGCAACTGAGAGCTCCAGAGGGACTACCAAGCCAAGACCAAAGGGAATCATATCTCAGAGGCTCTGAGAACTCCAGTGAGAACCAGGGCCAGGCCAGCTGCACAGGGACCTCTGACCCTAGTCAGCCCAGAGTCAAGACCTTGTGTGTACCCATTCCATCTTTGTGTTTTAATTAAAATTAAAAAAAAATTTTTTTGTACAAGTTGCAGTATATAATGATAACATTTGTAGGTACATAATATACCTTAATTCTTTTTATTTCCCTTCCCCCTGATCCTCATATCCGTACATGTTGACAGCCTGTGTGGCTATGAAGTCACTCAAAAAAGTTGGGAGCTACCTATTCAGGTGTTTCTGCCCTACTTCACCTTGCTTTCTCTTATCTGCAGCTCACCAAGGAGTAAGCAGTACAAATCCCATGGATTGGGTTGGAATGAGGTAGAGGTCTGGTACCATTCTGCATTTTCCTGAGGGCTTTACTACAGGGAGGATGGGAATATTGCAAGGGGACTGACAAGGCCGCAGAAGGCCATATTTGAGAAACTTATCTCTGAGAGGCTGGAGGACTTGGTTACTGCTTTTAGTTAGGAAATCAGCTGGGGTCTTTTAGTTCTAAGACTACTGGCATAGCTGAATTTGCTCTACCAAGTATTCCATTATACATTATACCATGCAGCAGGAGTCACCTGTTGGCTAATTTGGTCAGCGAGATCCCTGGTGTAGTCTCAACAGATAAAGTCCATTTTGGCCTTAGCTAGAATTTGAGAACTGCCCCAAGTTTTTCTGGTAAATCTCTGCCTAGCAAGGGAAAAGGACACTGTGGGACAATTGAAAACTCATGGTTAAACATTTGGCCATCGCAGTGACATGCCAGAAGAAGAGTAAAGAATTTCTTATTAGGGGTCCAATAAAGCCCAGTTATGGCTATAGACCTACAGGCAGGTTTCCCAAGAAGGAAGTCAAAATTGAGTGAGCTACCCCTGTTTCAGTAAGCAGTTCAAATGGTTCACCCATGACAATTCAGATTACCCAGGGCTCCTCAGAAGTGTTGGCAATGTCTGTGTAAGGAGTGTTGCAGGTAGTTGGAGCAGGAAATGAGAGTTCTGGCTGGCCCACCCCTCTCTGGGAGCAGGGACAGACTTCCAGTGCCATGAGACAGACACATCAGCTGCTTCACATTCAGAGCAAGGGCCAGGCAGAGGCTTGGTGTAGACTCATGCCCAATGCTTGGTCTTCTGGCACTTGAGACTTTTCCTCAGTTGTCCCTGGGTTTTTCCTTTAGATAACCTGGCTAAGTTTAAAGCATTGCCAATTGTGATAGCTATAATCTTAGCCTTTTTTATGGTCCTTCCTCTGGGTCTCGATAGGTGAACACAGAAAAGGCCACGTCCAGCATTTGGGCCTTAGGTGTTTGTCAGCTCACTTGAAGATTTTGTAATTTGTGCCAAATATCTGGAGACTGACAAATGAAATGATGTCCCACCAGTGCATTTTCCTTCCTAGAGATCGATCTACATTACTATATTTATGAGAGATTTCTTCTAATTGTTACAGAAGACAGCTGGATTTTCCTCTGTGCCCTGTGTGGCCCCATACACTTTATCATAGGTAACAAATTTCTTAATGGACCTCTTCATCCTCATGGTAAGAGCAGCTATCATGTTAGACATCAGTTTTAGTTCTACACTAGTATTACAGTCCCAGTTTGGTTCTGTTGATAGTAGAATAACCTCTCCAGGGTGGTTTCCTTCACTTTTAAAAGCATATTGCTAATTTCCGTGGTTCCTAGCCTCTTGTAGGATTCTTCATCTTTCATCTGGAGTTCAACGAGTAGCCAAGCATTGAACATTTTGCCATGCTAGGTCAAAAGTGAGGATCTAAGTTTGAAACCCGTCTGCAAACTTACTAGGGTCCTCTGACAGCTGGCCTAGTAATTCTTTGCACTGCTGGACATCTGCAACTGAGAAAGGAGGCAGAATTCAAATATTCCCTTCCATGCTATCATGAGGAGGTAGTAAGCTTTCAGTGGAATCCTGTCTTTCTATTCATTCCACATATCATGGTTTCTTGTGAGAAGTCCACTTCTTTTGTGTAGTATTTTTTCTTGAGGGCCAGTATTTTATAGGAAGATCTCACTACTTGGGAAGGACCCTTCTAAAAGTAATTAATTTGTCTTACTGACCAGCACTTGCAGCATTGTTCAGGTCAGCTTCCTTTCTTCTGTCGGGTTGCCTGTCCAGAGAAATGTTACCTATGTATATGATCCATTAGGATACAAGAAAGTGAGCCTTTGGAGACAGGGTGTCCTGAGAGAGAAGGCAGGGGGCATGGAGAGAAATGGTCTTGCTGGAACCTGTTGGACCAGATTCTACCAGGGTTATGGGTTATATCTTGCTTCTGTGTTTTTTCTCTCTCGGTTTTTTTTTTTGTCGTTGTTGTTGTTGTTTGTTTGTTTGTTTGTTTGTTTTTTGTTTTTGGTACTGGGATCACATTCGAGTCCTTGTGCTTGCAAAGCAGGCGACAGCACCACTGAGCTAAATCCCCGGCCCACATTTTCCATTTTTTAATTTTTTGTTTTCTGGTAGCTTTATTGCTAGTATTGAGGAAATGACTACTTTAGAGATGTCTTCTAAGCATAGCTGGCTTTTGGCTTTTGAGTCTGTACCAAGTTTCCGGCTGTTCAAGTTTCTAGGGAAGAAAGGTTGCTGTCTGTTTTGCCTAGCACCCAGTTCTTTAGTACAGGATTACAGTATTTATAATTGCCAGATGCTCTAAGTATCAGCATGAAAGCAAGATCAACTAATCACAACCACTCTATCACCTTGGCTAAAGTAGTATAATCAGTAATAACATTAGTGTCAAGGACAGACTAGAAAATGACAAACTGTGATAACTATTAGCTTGCCACCTTTAACCATAGGTACAAGATTTATAGTTATATAACAAGATCTAAGACAAATCAGATAATTATATACTGTAAATATTCACTCTTTAGAGCAATTTTATCTATGGGAAGAAAATTTAAAAGGGATAAGAGGAAAAGCTAGAGAAATAAGAGAAAGAGATTAGAAGCAAGGCTAAAAGAGAAAGATTATTCTAGCCTTGGGAAATTGGTGAAGAAGACAGGAGGGGAAGAAAGAAGGAAAAAACAAAAATAACAAAACAAAACTAAAAACAATGTTCACACACACAAATAAAAAAATGCCTCCAAATGAACAACAACAAAACAAAATCAATCAAACCGAACAAAAACAAAGAAAAACATTTTTCTGTTATTTGAAGCCTCTGGTTATCTTCTGGGGTCTACAGTTTTATGGTAGTGTCTAACTCAGCGCAACTTTGCTTCCACTGGTAGACAAGGCATTCAGAGTCCAAATCCACGCTGGCTAATCTCAGCAAACCCGTAGCAGACTTAATGTAGGGTGTTGATTTTGCTACTTTCAAATCCACAGAAGTTTGGGCTTGGTCTGTGGTTGTGGCGTTGAGGCCTCACTCATTCAGCCTACAACATTCTGGGTGTCTCTTTCTGGCATGACCACAACTTCCTGGTCCTGGGTGTCTCCCTCAGCTGTCCCTCACCCAATCATGGTGGATTTACCACTGGGAGCCCTGAGATGAAGGCAACCCACAGCTTCTCTCGAGTCCCAGGTTCGTTTGGCCCCTCCCTAAAGTGGCATCTGACCAAGCACAGCAGGCTCTTGGACTGGAGTCCTCACCAGCTGCTGTAGCACACAGCATCCACTCTTCGATCCACTACCGTGCTTCTCCCTGGAACCCTCTGGTATCTCCCACCCTC